TCCCCTCCCAGGACTGGACCCAGGAACACGGCATTGCTACTCAGGCTTCAGACTACTTATGGGCTCTCCCTCTGCCTTTTGGGCACACCTCCCAGGGATTTGCTGGAGTGCCATAAATATTCAGGATGTCTGTCCAGCTCTCCTTCCAACTATTATTATTATACAGCATTTATATAGTGCCAACAGTTTGCTCAGCGCTGTACATTACAATGGGAGACATTACATGAGACAGTACAGTAACAATATAATAAAATACACAAGGGGTTCGAGGGCCCTGCTCCTTGGAGCTTACAATCTAGGAGGGAGGGGAGAGTGGTACAGGAGGAAATAGCTGTGGGGGATGGAGTGGTGGGGAGAGCAGAGGAGATCAGCAGTTAGGTGAGGGCGGGGTAGGCTTCCCTGAAGAGATGGGTTTTCAGGGTGTGCCTAAAGGTGAGGCGGGTAGGTGACAGTCTGATGGATTGGGGTAGTGAGTTCCAGAGGATGGGGGAAGCCCTGGAGAAGTCCTGGAGACGGGCATGGGAGGAGGAGACCAGGGAGCTGGAGAGTAGGAGGTCTTGTGAAAAGCGGAGAGTGCGTTTTGGGTGGTAGATGGATATGAGGTTGGTGATATAGTTGGGGGCAGCATTATGAACAGCTTTGTACGTCAATGTTAGTATTTTGAATTTTATGCGTTCTGCAATCGGAAGCCAGTGGAGGGATTGGCAGAGGGGGGTGGCGGGCGGATACGGAGCGGTTAGTAAGGTGGATGAGTCTAGCCGCAGAATTCAGGATAGACTGAAGCGGGGATAGCCTGTGTTGAGGTAGGCTGGCGAGGAGGGAGTTACAGTAGTCAAGTCGTGATATGATAAGAGGTCGGGGGGGGGGGGGGGGGCGCGGGCTGGGGGGAAAACTAGGAGCTCGCTTTTGGCAAGGTTTAATTTGAGGAAGTGGAGTGACATCCAGTCTGATATGTCATTCAGAAGGCTAGTGATTCGGGCAGAGACTGAAGGGGTGAGGCGAAACTATAATTCTAGAAGTCTCTAGAAGACAGGGGGAAGTAGCAGAACAGCAGCTTGTGAAACACTGAACAGCTTTAAGCAATCAACCCTTGTCCACTGTTTAGAGAGGAGCCAAACTAAGTTTACCTAGCAGCCAACTCTGAACTAGGAGGGTGCAACATAAGGGGAGGTGCAGAAAAACTGAGGAACAGGAAAGAAGACATGTTGGTCAGCAGAAGCCCCAGAGTACAATGCAGAGAGGTCAAGGCCACTGTGTACAGGTAAACTGGCATCTGACAAGGCCCCAGAGTACATTAGAGACCAAAGGAGGGGAGGGAGCTTTGAAATTAGAAGTCGTATTGATGGAGATAATGGTTGTGTAGGCATAGATTGAGTGGAAATATTCACACATACTCGGATTATCCAATGAAATGGCAGAAATATTTTTCCGTGTGTCAGGACAGTCTCATGGCTCCCATGTCTTTCCCTTTTGCATCAGTCAGCAGATAAGTCGCCACTTACAGACACTCTGTGAAGAGGAATATAAAACCATTATTTTTATTATACTGGATTTACTGTATATAACTCCAACAGTTTGTACAACACTTTACAAAATAAAAAGGGACAGTACAGTTATGATCCAATTCAAGACAAAAGGGCCCTGCTCTTGAGAGCTTATAATCTAAAGGCAAGGGCAAGTGATACAAAAGATAACCGTGGGGGGACAAGATGATGAAGAAAGTAAAATGCAGTTGTTATGTAATGGCAAGATAAGCTTCCCTGTTCATCCCTGTGTTCAAAGATCACCTAAAGGCAAACAGAGTAGGAGATAGCCATACAGGTTGTGATAGGGAGTTCCAGAGGATGAGAGAGGTGTGCACAGGTGGAGGTGACAAGGGAGTGAGGGCTCGTTCACACTTGGCTGTTTTACCAACGCTTGCAAAACGCCCCTATAGCGTTTGGCAAGCGTTGGTCCGGCGTTTGCGGAGCGGTTTTTAACACTCGGCAAACGCTCCGCAAACGTTGCATGCGCGGTTTAGCGGAGGTTGCAAGGCATTTGCCGAGCGTTAATAACGCCCCACAAACGCCTATAATGCAGTTTGAGTGGTGTTACCGCTCCGCAAATGCCCCGCAACCGCGTCGCAACCGCACACGCCGGCCGGGCATTGCGGAGCGGCACCATAGACGAGAATAGGAGGCTTCAACACCTCCTGACTCGACCAGAGGCGTCCGTTTTGCCGAGATGTAAACGCTCCCGTTAGAACAGCACCATGTGCTGTAATGTGCAGAATTGGCAGAGGCGTTTGGGAACCGGTAAAAACGCTTCCCAATTGCCTCTCTGCCGCCTGCACACAACACTAGTGTGAACGTAGCCTTAGGCTCAGTTCAGACTAGCATTGAAAGCAGGCGTTTGAGGGACGCCTATGAAAATGAAACAAACAGCAGCACACAGTTGATGCCTCATGTCAAGTTAGGAGGAGTTGAAGCCTTTCAAGGCCTCCCATTCAAGTCTATGCTGACACTCCTCAAATGCCTGGCAGGCATTTGCAGGCATCTGCGGGGCGTTAATACCATTAAGTTCATTATAGGCATTTGTGGTGCAGTTTTAAACGCTTGTAAAACGCCTATAAAATGTCTCAAAACCGCGCATAGGGCATTTGGGGAGCGTTTTTTTAATGCCTGTAAAATGCCTGTCTAATGCTATAGGGGCATTTGGGAAGAAGTCAAGTGTGAACAAGCCCTTAGAGAGCAGGAGGTCTTTGGGGGAGGTCAGTTGGCATTCAGCGGAGTGGTTGTTTGCAGCAAGAGTCTGCCAGAAGCAGGATCATCATCATCACGGCTCTGGGTAGTCATTCAATGTCAATCATGTCATCCAGCAATGTAGATCCAATGTCAAGCACAATGTATTTGGATCATAACACAGTGTGCAATTTGTAGATTTTATTTTAATCATTTTTACTAAAATACGGTCACAGTGTGTTTATTTTTTTTGAATGATTAACAATGGGTACCACATCAAAGAGCCATAACATTATGACTACTGGTAAAGGTAAAGTGAAGATTATCAACTGGTAAAGGTATACTGTAGGTAAAGTGAAGAACATCAATTATCTCGTTACAATGACATCTGAACGTTGTTGGGATTTATTAGGCAGCAAGTGAACATGTTGTCTCTGAAATTAATGTGTTGAAAGTAGAAAAAAAAAAAGGCAAGCATAAGGATTTGTGTAAATTGTAATGGCTAGATGACTGGGTCAGAGCCTCTCCAAAACTGCATCACTAGGCGCTATACTTACCTTCTCTCTAACAGTCCAAGTCTGGGAGGGTTCCCTTGCCAGCATCTTCCCCCTGGGCACACAGGGACCATGCTGGCAATGTAATCTGAACTGTGCATGCCATTCACAACGATAGGCAGCCCTGGGCGTCTTGTCAAAGCAGCGTGATTCGTCTGTGGGTGGTTGCGGGTGCAAGAACAGATGCATTTCTCGCACTTACAACCAGCCCGCACAGTGTGAACCAGGACTAAGCTACTCTTTAAAGGGGACTTCCACATTCCTGTACATTCTGCCTCCTCCCACAGACCCCTTTATGGGTCAGGGATGTGGTGAGGAGGCCCCCGTCCTTAACACAGGGACATAGTGCTCTGCTGCCCTGCCAAGGTACCATCCCTATCCCTATGTTAAAATCATGTAGTCTGGTACGGTTCAGAAGGGGGAAGGGGGGGGGGTGATATCCGCTGCTCTCCTTCCTGTCTAGCCAAGTTTCAGATTTTGGGGATTTTCTTTTTGTAAATGTCACTTCTCCCTCAAACATGTTATTTAAAGTGGGTATAAAGGCTTAAGATTTTTTACCTTAATGCATTCTCTGCATTAAGGTAAAAAAACTTCTATTGTCAGCTCCTCCCCAGCCCCCCCTCCAAATATTTACCTGAGCCCGATCTTGATCCAAAGCTGCTCTCTCTCCCCTCCTCACTGGATTCAGTGAGAGGAAAGGGTGCCATTGCCTCCTGCTGCTGTCAATCAAATCCAGTAACAAAGGGGCAGGTCCGAGCCCCACTGTGTGTGTGTCAATGGACACACACACTCTGTGGAGTTTGTGATTGAGCCTGCAAGCGTGCCACTATAGGAAGCAGATTCTTATGGCGGCTCACAGAGAGGAGGAGGAACCCAGAGCACCGCCGTGGGACCCCAGAAGAGGAGGATCGGGGCTGCATTCTGCAAAACCATTGCACAGAGAAGGTAATATTCAATATTGAGTTGGCCCTCCCTTTGCAGATATAACAGCTTCAATTCTTCTAGGAAGGCTGTCCACAAGGTTTAGGAGGGTGTCTATGGGAATGTTTGACCATTCTTCCAGAAGCGTATTTGTGAGGTCAGGCATTGATGTTAGATGAGGAGGCCTGGCTCGCAGTCTCTGCTCTAATTCATCCCAAAGGTGTTCTATCGGGTTAAGGTCAGGACTCTGTGCAGGCCAGTCAAGTTCCTCCACCCCAAACTCGCTCATCCATGTCTTTATGGACCTTGCTTTGTGCACTGGTGCACAGTCATATTGGAACAGAAAGGGGCCATCCCCAAACTGTTCCCACAAAGTTGGGAACATGAAATTGTCCAAAATGTCTTGGTATGCTGATGCCTTAAGAGTTCCCTTCACTGGAACTAAGGGGGCGAAGCTCAATCCCTGAAAAACAACCCCACACCATAATCCCCCCTCCACCAAACTTTACACTTGGCACAATGCAGTCAGGCAGGTACCATTCTCCTGGCAACCACCAAACCCAGACAAGTCCGTCGGATTGCCAGACAGAGAAGCGTGACTCGTCACTCCAGAGAACATGTCTCCACTGCTCTAGAGTCCAGTGGTGGCATGCTTTACACTGCTGCAGCATTCAATGCTTTGCATTGAACTTGGTGATGTAAGGCTTGGATGCAGCTGCTCAGCCATAGAAACCCATTCCATGAAGCTCTCTACGCACTGTTGTTGTGCTAATCTGAAGGCCACACGAAGTTCGGGGGTCTCCAGCTATTGATGCTGCAGACAGTTGGTGACTTCTGTGCACTGTGCGCTACAGCATGCGCTGACATCACTCTGTAATTTTATGTGGCTTACCACTTGGTGGCTGAGTTGCTGTTGTTCCCAGTTGCTTCCACTTTGTTATACTACCACTAACAGTTGACCGTGGAATGCTTAGTTGCAAGGCAATGTCATGGATGGACTTATTGCACAGGTGACAACCTATCACAGTACCACGCTTGAATTCACTCAGCTCCTGAGAGCGACCCGTTCTTTCACAAATGTTTGTAGAAGCAGTCTGCATGCCTAGGTGCTTTATACACCTGTGGCCATGGAGGTGATTGGAACACCTGAATCCAATTATTTGGAGGGGTGTCCCAATACTTTTGGCAATATAATGTATGTCTCTGTACACATAGGGCCTTAGGCTAGGCTCACACCTATGCAGGTTACATTTGAGCCATTTCTGCATTGCGTTTTTTTTTTTACATTTTACTTGTTGCTAGGCAGATTTAAACCACAAAACGCATCAAAAAGTAGCAAAAATGCAGAAAAAAACACAATACATGCTTTTCTGCAGCATTTCCATTGAAGTCTATAGAACCAAAAACACAACTTTTTGTGTTCAAAAAAGTCCCTGACCCTTTCCAAAAAACGCACAGATGTGAACATGTCCCATAGGAAAGCAGGTTAAATGGACTGTACTGCATTTCTGAAAAACGCAAAATGCTGCAGAAAACAAACACTTAGGTGTGAGCCCAGGGTAAAACATGATTACCACTTGGTACAGAGTTCTGTCCCGTCCAGCCAGTCACAGACTCACAGACTGAGACACTGCAGGCAGCAAGGCTGGATATTGCACCTCTGCCCCCCCAGACACACTAAAACACTTGAATTGAACGCATATGGGCTTGATGCTCGTGTGTAAGGAGCTTAAAGTGTATTTCCACTTTTTCAGTCAAATTGGGATAACACTTGTTTTTATTCACATAGCAGAACTTAAAAAAAAAAAAAAAAAATATCAAAACATTTTTGCTCTCATTTTGCCTGCTTTTTTTCTGAAAGCTAAAAAACTGACGCATTGCTCTGCTCTGTTAAAAACACAATGCAGCACAAGCACAGCAATGTAAAAACACAAGCCAGTCTTCTGTGCACACACACGTGCCATGGTGCAAACAAACAAACACCAAGAGCATCAGTGGCGTCACTAGCATATCTGGCACCAGAGGCAGATCTTTAATATATATAAAATTATTTTCAGTAATAATCATGAACTTAAAGATCATGCATAATGGGGAATGGGAGCAGAATTAGCCAATGGAGGGCGTACAGTCGCAGTTGTAAGTATGGTTGCAACTTTATGCGCAGAAACTGAACTTGCACAATTATCAATGTTGTATAATTTAAAAGAAGGGAAGCCTTGAGGTTATCAGCAATAAAAGTGGCATACACAGTGTTCCACCCACGGAACACCTGGAGGCATGGCCAATACAATGGGTGTTTGTAGCTTCACAGTGTATGGCTTGAAGTGAGGGAGTAAAAAAAGCCCCAGCACTGTTGTCACTGGCAGAAATAAGAACTCCCAGCACTGTCTGCAATATTACCCTCTTAAAGGAGACGTTCACCTTACATAACATTACACCCATATTCAGGGTGTAAAATGTAACATGATACGAACGGAACTGGCCCCTGCAGCCCCTCCACCCTGATCCCCGTTGTGACAGCTAGCAGGGGATTTTCTCCCCCTGCTAGTTGTCACAATTAAAAAAAAAAAAAAAAAAAATAGCCATGTGGGGCTCTGCTTGGCTGCCTCACTCATTCACAGTATTCTTTGAATGAGAAAAAAAACAAAAACACACAAAACAAACCATTTATACTTGCCTGCTCTGTCCAATGGTATTGCCCAGAGCGGCTTGGAACCTCCTCTTCTTGGGTTCCTTGTCAACACTCCTGGCTCCTCCTCTTCTCAGTGTGCCGCCATAGGAAGCCGCTTCCTATCATGGCACACCTGCGGGCTTGATCCTGACTTTTGCTGCCTGTGTCTAATACACACAAACAGCGTGGATCAATCCCACCCCCCGCTCTCTTGTCAGGGGACTGTTTAGTGTTCTCATTCTGTGAATGAGAACACTAAAAGTTCCGACAGCCTTTGCGGCTGTCAGCTTGTAGTTCTCAGTGAACTACAACGGCGCTGTGTGGCGCTGTGGTAGTTCATCGAGTCTTCCTGTAAGTATCTGCCTGCCTGTACAGGATGTACAGGCACACAGATACACTGACAGGTGTGCAGGAGACCTGCTTCACACCAGAGATCTGCTGGTCACTGGTGCAATGCTTTAGAGGCTCCAGAAACAAGAAATAATAAATACAATTTTTTTTTACCTGCAAACAATGTGTATTTATTATTTTTTGTTAAAAGATGAACTTATCCTTTAATTGGCATTCAGAGGTAATACCAACGTTAGCCCACCAGCATTAAAGTGGTTCTAAAGCCCAAACATTTTTACCATAATGCATTCCTTGCATTAAGGTGGTAGTAAACCACAAAAATTAAAAAAAAAAAAATCTAAAAAAGTATGCAGCGCATATTAGTACATTATGAAAGACTTACCTCAAAACGAAGCCCTTCAGCAGAGCGTTGTCACAGCTCCGCGAGGCTTCCATCTTCACCCGGTCTTCATTCCGCGTTTGCAGGCAGAGATCGTTTGATTGGCCGAGCCATCATGATGTCACTCTCGTGCATGCGTGCGGAGTTTCAGCTACGGCACAGCTCCGTGCCGTCCATTGAGAGCGCAATGCACATAAGCCGGTGACATCACCAGCGATGTTGCAGTAAACATTTCCTAAACGGTGTAGGTTTGGGAGATATTTACAGTGCCTACAGATAAGCTTTAGTAGCCTCCCTAGCGGTCTGATCATGTCAGTTTTTCTGTGCTCAAAGCCATACTTTTTTTGCATGGAAATATGAAGTTTTTTTTATTGTAGGCCTGTAATTTTTAGGAATAACTCACTGAAATCTGTCCGAACAAGAGTCTAGTAAACATCCCGGGTATGATAAAATTTGAAACACGAAATCATAAATTATAATTTAATAAATAATCATAAAAAATAATAATATAATAATAAATTTAATTCAATAATGTAATCAAACCAAAAACACTGAAATTTGAAATATAGCGCCAAGTTCGCACATCACTGAGCAAAGTCGCAAAATCATTTTCAGTGTCTGATGACGAATTTCCCCACGAATCATTATCACTCAAATCTGAAAGTGGTTCTGATTTACTATCGCTGTTCTCTAGCTGGTCTAAAACCGATTTTGACCTAAAGGGACGCTTTTTGGACATTTCTCAGTTTCAAGGCAGAAAGAACAGTAAAAATGCAGGCAGGGCACAGGACAAAGCACTCGGGACAAAATGTATGTGAAATGTTTTGATACAGTAATGTTTTACTATGTGATTTTAGTGTATTTAGTGAATATCACTTTTTCACATTTTTAAATTTCCCGCCAGTTCTGTCCCCGTACGTCCCGACGTCACAGGGAACGGAACCCAGAAGACGGATGTTGGCATCGGCCGGAGGACATTGCCGGGGACACTGCAGGAGAGACATCGTGGGAGTGCAGGACACGGTAAGTTCACAAGAGATCCCGGAGCAGTGCCGCATGGTAAGCCCGAGTGTATCTCGGGGTTACCGCTTGTGGTGCTGAAACTTTACCCCGAGCTACACTCGGGAATACCGCCAAGGATGTTAAAGGCTCACCTGTAGATAAAACATAAAAAATAGGGCTTACTTCCACATTAAGGTAAAAAAGGTTAAGGTAAAAGTATCGCCCCGCATGCCCCCTTTTACTTACCTGAGCCCTTACTCGATCCAGAGCTGTGCCTATTTGCAGCGCTTTTCTCTCACCTGGTCTCACAGGCTTTGATGAGGCAGCGGGATCCATGGGTGCCCTCTGCAGTCAGTCAAATCCCCTGACAAGAGAGCGGGGGGTGGGATTGAGCCACGCTGTCTGTGTTTATAGACACAGGTAGCAAAGCTCAGGATCAAGCCCGCAGGTGTGTCATGATAGCAAGCGGCTTCCTATGGTAGCACACCGAGAAGAGGAGGAGCCAGGAACGTCTACGAGGAACCTGAGAAGAGGAGGAGCCAGGAGTGTCTACGAGGAACCCGAGAAGAGGAGGTTCCAGGCCGCTCTGGGCAATACCATTGCACAGAGCAGGCGAATATAAATGGTTTTGTTTTGTTTTTTTAAAGCTCTGAGTTTACAATCACTTTAATGGTCAGTGGAATACTTAGGCTGGGTATATTATGTACCAAAACTTGGCCAGTTCCGCAGCAACTGGATGACAGCCATTAGACCAGCTTCTGTCAAATGGTCCTGCTGGAAAAAAAACTGAAAAACCTGCATTTGATCGACATGCGCAGACTAGGACTGCAGCGCTGATCTGTGTATTATGATTTTGGAGATTTGGGAGTCCCTGCTGTCAGAATACAATAGGATGCGGGGATCTGTGATTTCTTTTTCCTTTCAACCAGCAGGTTGAATTAAAGAAAAAAAATTGAGGCATGTATATCCTTCTTAGGAACCCCCTTCTCCTAACATTGCTGGTTGGTGGCTGTCTGGAAGAATAACCGTCTGGCCATTAGTGGTCAGTGACTGGATGCAACATAACCCCCTCAAGCATCAGTGGTTAGTATCTGGATTGAACAATAGTGTAAGGTTTTACAAAATTCAGTTCAATTGTATCAGCAATTATACAGTGGTTGATATAGTTTGTAGAGGTCAGTAAGAGAGGCTTCTAGTTCTATTCCTATTACTTGTTGCATTGACAGCACCTACTGTATGATACTTCTGATGTGCCCCTGGCTAACTGATGTTTCTTGTCTTTCAGAAGGAGCTGTCATTCCATCTGCAGTTTTTTACTAATGGACTTCTACTTCAGTGACTTTGAGCTCTTCGAGTGGAAATCAATGCCTCAACAAATACACAGTTGGCTAAAGGATAAAAAATGTGGATTGTAAATGGGTTTGTTAATGCGGTGTTAAAAACCCAATACCAAAAATTTTATATATTGCAGCTTACCAGTCATTTGATGTGGGGGTCGTATTCGTTTTCTCTTTTAAACCCCCCCCCCCATTTTCACCTGGTGATCTGGCCAGTAGCACACCTCTTGTATTAGAATGCCTCCACTCTGGATGAAGGTGTTGTCAGTCTGAGGTGAGGGGTGTGTTAGTGTATTTAAATCTGCTAGTATATCTAACAAATTGAAACAAACATGTTTTTTTGGGGGGGAGGGGGTGAAGGTTTTACTTAAATAAAAGCTGATCATTGTAAGCTTCCCTGTCAGTGGTAAATGGTTTGTCTCAACCCTAAAATTGCTAGATCTGTAGGACAGCTTGTTC